CTCTCATTTAAGCTTCATTTGAGCAGACCTCACACAGGTTCCCTTTGGGTCCTGTCACACCCGTCACTCTCCAAGATCCAGAATTCTGTCATTCCCCGTTCCATGATAACTTCCCTCAGTTCCATCTTTATGGTCCCTTTCCCTCTGGTCCTGTCCTGTAATGGTCCCCTCCCAACCTCCTCCCCTCCTGAGCCAAGCCTCGGCCACCTCACCTCCCTCTCATTTAAGCTTCATTTGAGCAGACCTCACACAGGTTCCCTTTGGGTCCTGTCACACCTGTCACTCTCCAAGATCCAGAATTCTGTCATTCCCCGTTCCATGATAACTTCCCTCAGTTCCATCTTTCTGGTCCCTTTCCCTCTGGTCCTGTCCTGTAATGGTCCCCTCCCAACCTCCTCCCCTCCTGAGCCAAGCCTCGGCCACCTCACCTCTGTCCTCACTTAACCTTTGATTCTCCCACCCCCATGACTGTCCCCTGGCCTGCCCTCGACACGCAGGCCCATCTGCTTCTTCCATGGCTTCTGCCAGGCTGTCACCATTGCTGGAGAGAGTCACAGGCAAGGCCTTTTGGCACCAGCACACATCACAGATTCAGCCAAGTCCAAGCCCCCAAGCTGCTCTTCCAGCCTTGTTAGTCCCTAATTGACTCTTGGGCACCCCATGGTTTCCTTCTGAATCTCAACCATAGACCTCTGGTCCAGGCCCCACAAAGACATTGTTCCAGCAGTTGGCCTTGACTGCTGAGAAGACCAAGGTCACTTGGCTAAAACTCCTTGAGTTTTCTTCCGCTCCACCTCAAAGTTTCTCTCTTTCTCTCTGTCCATCCTTTTTTTTCCTTTTTCCTGTCTTAAGAGAAAAGAGTGTGCCTGCTTCTCTGCATTTCCTCTCTAAACCTGCATCAGTAGTCCCCTTTCCAGTTGCTTTCTGAGTGCCACGTTCAGGGTTCTCTTTGTCCTCAGTGTCCTCCAGCTGTCCCTGGCATCTGACACTCCTCAGCCCTCCTCTTGCCTGAAATTGATCTCGATTCTGCCTTCTCCTGTGTGTCTTAAAATGTGGTATTTTTGGCTTCAGAATGTCTACAGCCCTGGACTGGGAGTCAAACTTTGACTCTGGTCCTGGCTCTGCCACTGACTTATTTGGTGGGCTTTAAGATAGGCTACTTTTCTCCATTGGCCTCAGTTTCCTCATCTGTAAAATGGGGTTCTTGGACCTGCTCTCCACTTCTAATGTTCAGTAATTCTGAGTTTAACGGGGAAAGCCAGGTGTGTCCATGTGTCTTTTCTAGTTAGGAAGGAGAAGGTATCCATCATTTCTGCCTCTAGAATGAAGTGCCTGTTGCCTTGGTGTTGTGTCCTCATCCCCAGGTGACCCTGCTACAGCTACTCAGATTCCCAGAAAGCCAAGGATGTGACCCCATTACAAAATACTTTGCTGTGAACTTCTCCTGACTTGGCTGGCAGGCTTTCCCATCAGCCAGTGCCCTGTCACTGTGCGGCAGGAGGGATGTTCACAGCAGGATCCGGGCATCCTTCCCAGGCCAGACACCTGCAGATGCCCAGACTCTGCAGGTTCTGAAGCCTTTCCAGCATCCCGCTCTATGAACGTGATGAGCTTTTCTTCCCTACAAAAGCAGGGGCGGGGTCCTCATCTGCCTGCGACTCTGAGCACCCAGGAGACCTGTAGCAGGATCAGCCAGCAGGACACGCTTGTCATCCAGTCTTTGATTTCTGAGTGGGCTTCCTTACACGTGGGGTTCCAATGATGCTGGCACTTGTCTCTGTGCCTCTGCTTGTACCCTTTCTCACCCTCTTTAAACTTCCAGCCATCCTTCAAGACCATCTCAGATGATGCCTGTCATGAAGCATGTCCTGAACTCCCAGAGCGCTTTTGCTCTATGTCAACCTCTGAGGATATTTTCCCTCTGGGGCAGTCTGTTCATTTTTGGCCTTGGGTTTGTTATTCGTATTTGTAAACAAATAAAATTTTCTGATTAGATCATAAGGCTTAGGACTTCCTCTTCTTAACTTGGTGACTCTTGAGGACAAGGCACAAAACCTAGAACTTTCTTCTTTCCCCAGAAGAGACCTTGGAAGAGGCATTTGTCAAATCTTTCCATCTTCTAGATGGTGAAAACACAGCCTTCAGACCTTGGCAGGTCACTTAGTGAGCAGCGCAGCTGGGACTCAGACCCAGGTTTAGCCATTTCAGGTGTATGTGCTCTTTCTAGTACACTGTACTCTTGAGTCTCAGTTTTCTTGTCTGTAAAGTGGAGGTAGTAACATCTATTTCACAGGGAAATTGAGGAGCTAGGTGAGTTAATGGAGGAGAAAATGTTTTGTAACTGGTACATGGGTGGTGGTCTCCTCTTCTAAGCTGCGCAGGCTAAGGGGGACTAGAAGTCATCACAGACCCCGGGGCGAGCATGCTGAGAAGGTAAGGTTAGGTGGAACCTGCAAGGCAGAAACCCTAGCAAATTTAAACAAGAACCCTTTGGGAGGGCCTGCCAACATGGCTGCTGGGTTGTCATTGATTTTGCCAGGGGCTGGGAGGTGCTTTTGGGAACCGGGATGGGAATGGTTCATTTGGCCGTTGGCTTATTGCCCCATAATTGAAACTCCTTCAAGTATTGAAACCCCCCACCCAGCTCGATGTGCAGATAGATCAGCAGGCCAGCAGTGGCTGGGCTCTTGGCATGGCTCTTTGCATACCCAGCTTAAATCCCTAGCTCCCTGAAAAGAGCCAGGCATGGTTTCCATAGTGCCCTGCCCAGCCCCAGAACAGCTGTCAAAGCCTATTGGCATCACCTATTTTTAGCAAGTGGGGCTGGGACCTCCTGCTTCCCTTTTCCATGTCAAAGCAGGAAGGCCATGCAGGGACCCACTCTATAGATCTCACTTCGGCCTAGCTCAGAGCAGGGGCTGGGAGTCAGTTTTTACATATCAAAGCTTTCTTCTGAGAGCCAAGGGCTCCAGCCTGCACCCTCCCAACTTTCTCACTGCCTAGTCATGATAGCTGCTGCTTACTGAGTTCCTGTTCTGAGCCAGGCATTGAACTAATAGCTTTACATAACTCTTGTTTAACTTCTTCACTGGTCTGTAAAGCTGGCCATAAAGCAGACCCATCTTACCGATTATGAAGTGCAAGCTCAGAGATATTAGAAACCTTGTAAAGGTTAAAGTAAGGGAAGAGCCAGGATTCAGAACTTGGTCATTCCAAAGTCCAGC